CCCTGTTGTATTTTCTTGTAATTTATTAAAAGAAGGTACACCGCCATCTTGTGCCGACTAAACTGACTTGAACGTGCCTGACGTCGTAATTACGACTTGTCAACTCGTAAGTACGAACGTCCCAGGAGGACTTGAACGCAGCATACGGTCCAGCGTTTATCTGGTTGTGCGTCAGTAATAATGGTCCGTGGGGAAACACGGTGTTCCGTGTGTAGTTACAGTAAATGGACTAAACGAAGCCATTTGCATCGATGATTTTTTGTATTCGAGTTACTCGAGGTATTCGAGGAATCGTTTCAGCCCTATACTGAATCATACAGTGGTGGCCAAAATTGTTAGAACACCTGACTGATTTGAAAATATTGACCTTTTTATTTTATAATGTTCATGAAACATGCAGATGGTTGCTCTGAGCACAACAAATATCAGATGAAGTGAGTCGTACTGTTTTTATCTACTTTTAACTTAAATATTTGGTATGTCCACCTTTTGCAGCAATTACAGCACATCTCTCTGGCAATATATTTCCTGATAACTTCAACACTAATGTTATCCCATGCCTTTTTGCAACTCAAGTCAAAGGCTTTCCTTTGAATGTGCAATAGATCTGTCCAGTTTATTTTCCAACTCGAACCCAAATTTGCTTGATGGGGTTGAGGTGCGGACTTTGAGGGGAACAGTCCATCATTTTCAATGTTCCAGCAGATTCCTTACGTCGCAGGTAGTCCTGGCAATAGTTTGTTTTGTGGATATTGTAATGGCCAATTCAACAAAAACAACTGAAACCTCTTAAACATGCCAAGTGTTCTAACAATTTTGGCCACCACTGTATACCGTTCAAAAGTTTGGTTTGGTAAGATTTTTTAATGTTTTTGAATGAATTATCTTATATTCACCAAGGCTGCATTTATTTGATACATTAAAAAAAGTAATACTGTCAAGTAATATTACAATTTTAAATAACTTTTCTATTTGAATATATTTTTACATTTAATTTATTTCTGTGATGCAAAGCTGAATTTGCAGCATCATTACTCCAGTCCTCAGTGTTGCATGATTTAATAATATATTATAATATTTTAACATTTTTAATTTATTCCTGTGTTGGCAAAGCTGAATCTTTATCAGCCATTATTCCAGTTTTCACTGGATTGGTACTCAAGTAACATTTGTTATTATTATTATAAATTTTATAAGAGTTGTGCTGCCTAATATTTTTTTGGAACCAAAGATAAATTTTTTCACTATTCTTTGATGAATAGAAACTTCAAAAGAATGGCATTTATTTGAAATAGATTGTTTTGTAACATTCTTTCTAAATGTCTTCACTGACACTTTTGATGAATAAAAAAATATTTCAAAAAAAATATTACTGACCCCAAGCTTTTGAATGGCAGTGTACATATACTTCAACAGACTTGGACAATGAATACCAAGAATACCAAGAAACTGTGCCAAGAAAACAGAAACAACAAACAGCTATTCACTGTGATTTGTTGATTACGTAAAGTGTGAAATGCTTGAGAGGAAGTATTGCGTGTGCTGGCCAGGTATGAAATCAAAGCAGCCTTGAGTTCATACAGCTCTGTGGACCGGATTAACAAACGCAGATGTGCCACACCAACAGTCAGACCCACGCACATAGACGTGTTCATTTAATCAAGTAGAAAACAACACTGCATAATACATGCAAGCACACATGATTTGCTTACACATTTCCAAACACACGCACAATTGTTCACACTCACAGTCAAACATGTGCACGGCCACATGGCTGTGGAATAGCAATATCACTGGGGTAAAAGCAGTTCTGAGAGGACAGATGCTGCCCTGTGGCCTTTCTGCAGTAGGCCGGGCAAATTCCTGAAAACAGGGTGAGAGTGGGGGTAAAACAGCAAGAGTGAGAATTCTCAAAGTCACAGTGGTATAGAGGAAGTTAATTTGATAGCAGCTAAAAATACTGGCTTACAAATGCATCTGCTTCATTTTCAGCGCCTGTATGGTGAGGTATGATGCTGCTTATTATGGAGTGTGAAATGGTCAAATGATAAATGTGAGATGACTTTGTGGAACAAATGATAAAAGAGTAGAATAGAGAGTGCAAGTTTTATAAATAAAAAGAAAACAAGTAGATAGCATAGAAATAGAATAGAAAGTGCTAGAGTTAGAGGGTCAAATAAAGATGGAAGAGATGTGTTTTTAGCCGTTTCTTAAAGAAGGACTGCTCGGATTAAGTTGGGCAGGTCATTTCACCAGGAGGGAACAGTTAATGTAAAAGTCTGTGAAAGTGATGTTGTGCCTCTATGGCACTATAATGCACTGTTCACTTGCAGAACGCAAGCTTCTGGAGGGCACATAAATCATGGCCACATTGCACGAATTAGTTCCCACATTTTAGTTAAATCGTTGTCATGTTGCACTAATTAGTTCACTCGTTTTAGTTAAATCACAGCCGCAATGCACTAATTTGTTATCTGCTTTTGTGCTCAAAAAAAAATACACTACACTGTGCTGCAGAAATAGTGAGGCTAGTACAGTATGGTAATATGCTATTCTGAACATAGCCAAGAAGTAGACTACATAAAAGGAGATACACAACTGAAGCGGGGGGAAAAAATGAAATAAAAAAAAGAAAGAGAGAGGGGAAGCAAGAGACAGAGTGAGGGAAATAGGTCATGGTTTGGAGGGGCTGGTCAGGGTGTATATTTAGCGAGATCTTCCTCCATCACTGACACAGCTGAGCCTAAGGGATCTCACAGATTTTATTTTGTAAGTGTGACTGAGGGGTTGACATGCCAGTTCTGACAGTCTTCATCCTAAGGGAACTTCCTAGTGTGTGCGTCTGGCTGAGAGTGAGACAGGCATCGGTCTAGCAGATCTGTATGGTCCATGCATTCTCAGACAGATCCAAAGCGATTGTCACAGAATTGTGAGCGTGCTCGGCGCTTTAACTGCAGGGTTGTCATAATAGTGACATTCCTTTGCACTCTTGACCTAATTATCAAGCATGTGACACGTGGCTGCCGACACAGTTCATCCCATTTCTCGGACCATTTCTCGCCAAAGAAACGCTGAATTTACAATTCTCTTCTTGAATTCTCCTACCGGCTTTCACAGTTCACTCCCTCAGACTTGTATAGAACAGATCTGAGAACAGTTTCAACATGAAAGGAAACTGCAAAAATGCACTGCGAAACTTTATTTCAAGACTAATTTAGCTTTAATCAGTTACTTCCGGAGTTATACTTAAGCACATGCTCATTAAGGAGCGAAAAGGAAACCGATGGGAAAAATGTGTCATCTATTTTCAGAGCCAAGCCCTCCAGTAGCTTCTCTCTGCTCCTCTTTCCTCAATGAGAAAAGGTCTTGCTATTTTCTAAATGAGGACACAGCTTTTGCTGAGGTACAGCAAACTGCAGACATCTGCACCAGCAGCAATTTCAAGTATTTATAAAACTGCATCTTCCAACCTTTAAAGAAACTTTACCTTCAGATAAATGCATAATGTCAACATGAAATCCAAACTCACCCTATCCTAGGTTTTATGTTCAAGGTCCTTAGAATATTGAAATTAACATATTTACAAGATGACAACAAGAGATTGTACTGAACTGGTCACATCTTTGGACTTGTTCATGAAGAAACGGCCAAAAAGAGTCTTGACTGTTGATGTCCATCTTCAAAGGTTAATGTCTATCTCAAGTGGTCTGAAAACTGTAAAGTTGGTTGCTTTAACATTTTTAATTTTCCTATTTATTTTTGAGTGATTACACCAATGCACTGGTATTGGTATCCAGTTTTCTATTTTTATTTTACGTGGTTTAAGCACTGAAGCTTCCTGTGTGTCATGGTCAACAACAAATTTTGCTTATACAGACTTTCTTAGAAACATCATTATCATTATCTCAGCCCAGGATATCCTAGTTCCATGGAACAAAAACTGATATATATATAAAGCACACTTATATGTACATTTAGTACATTACAAATTCATATGCACTATACATGTGGACATTTTACACATAATTTTCTCTTAGATTTAGAAGTTCCACTTTTTAGGGTCAATCTACAAAAGGAGATGTTTGAATCTCAGTCCTACATCTTTTTAGGGGGTACCTAGATAAGTACAGCGCTGTCAGCATATATGCAATACATTTTACATTTATATGAGGGTGAGAAATTGTCATTTTTTTTAATACCTGCTAACTTTCAGGTATCTCTTATGGGGGACCAGATGTATAATAATGTATGAAAATGTTCCTAAATGCATCCCTCTTTAGAAATCGCAATTCCTCTTAAATTCAAGCCCAATGTGTACAAATGAATCAACTCCACCTTCAGAAGGCCCATAAATATCGCTTTAAGGTTCAGTACAACAACATAAATGTGCAAGGAAATCCAAGCATGCTGGAAAACTTATGTGCAGTAGGCATGGTCTGGTTTCTGTACAATGAATATGTATGTATATATTATTATTTTGAGGAAATCATCAACATAAATGAATTAATTGCAGTTATGTAATTATCACAAACAGTTAAATTTTGCTCATTTGTGCATTACTTACGCATAATAATATTAATGCATTTTTCTGATTGCCTATTTATCTTTACATCTGCAAAAACAATGTTGAATTAATCTAATTACTGGTATATATTTGCAAACTATTTTGTACACATTCTCTTTAGTTGGTGTAAGCATAAGAACTTCAGTTCCTCTTCAGGAACTCGAGCTGCGTCGGAGAACGCTAGGGGAACACCCTTCAGCGTGACCGGCTCTGAACCTCGTGTGTAATCAGACCAATAGATGGGCGAGACGTCACGGGCGGGTGACGTAATGACCCGGAACCTATAAAAGCACGTGCGGTGAGACCAGCGTCAGCTTTCTGTCATTCAGCAAGCGCTCTGTGTGTGTGTCAGTTGTGAGTCTTATTTGGTGTTGTCTGTCCCATAGAAAATAAAGAAAGATAGAAAAGAAAAATGTCAAAAGCACATGAAAAGAGGAAACACCAGTTAAGGGGCGAAGGTGGGCAGCGTTTCAGACTGTGTGTTCCTCCCTGCCCGCGTTTCATTACGGGTGGGGATACACACAGTTTGTGCGTTGTCTGCCTGGGAGCGGAGCA